CACCTACAATCAAAGATCATTCTGAACCCCACCAACGACAGAATTGGGGCAAACTTCCCACACAGAACCCCCCATACTGAAGGCCATCCAGTCCAACTCCCTTCTCCACCAGGGCAAGAAAACGTAATCAAAGCCCTCCTCACAAAGAGCCACCCAGCCATAGATTAGATAGATAGAAATGATCCAAACACACAGAGATATAGTCTAGATTTGAAAGAGACCCCTAAAGAAGGACAATTTCCATGTTGCATGTTCCAGAGAAGGCAAACCAGACACTCTCCACATCAACACTGACAAAGAAACAGCAAAAGAAATACTGTTTACTCACAAGCAGAAAGGAATTGCATATATCAGAAACCAACACTTTCTCATTACTTGATTTCCCAGGTCACCAGACTGGGCCACAGCAACGCCTGGCAGGGGACAGCTAGTCCTAATAATATAGTATAATGCAATATTTTGTGTATACATATATACATGTATGTATTTATTTATTTGCTGTATTTGTATCTTTCTCAGCCATTTGGCAACTCAAGGCGGCTTCCAACAAGTCAGTATACATAAATCATAATAGATATAAAACATTAACAGTATAAGACATCACAAAAGCAATAAAAGCAACCTCATCAGCGTCTCATTATTCTCAAGCATCGTCCAATCCCATTGTCAGGTCATTCGAGTTCCTATGTTACTCTGTATTTGTAAACGTCTCCTCGAATAGCCACGTTTTACCTTGCCTCCGATATTACTCATGATATCACAATAGAATGGCATACTACAATGTAGCAATATATAATACTGATATTGTACTGTGCGAATACTATATTGTAATATATTGTGTATACATATAATATTTATAATATTATAATGTAATACAATATAATTTTAATAAGAAGATATTACAACTATATATTTTATAGGACATGTAATATTACTAAAATATTACAATATAATACACTGTATGTAAATGCCTCCTGTGAGCCGCTCTGAGTCCCCTTCCTTCCTTCCTTTGGGGTGAGAAGGGCGGCATGGAGATGTCGTAAATGAATAGATGGTGAGACACAGAGTTGGAAGAGACTCCAAAGGTCCCCCAGCCCAGGAAGGAGGAGGGCACCACACAAGCCCTCCCGAGAGATGTCCACCCGGCCTCTGCTGAGAGACCTCCCGAGAAGGAAGGAGGAGCCCCCCCCCCCGCTGGACCCCCAGGAAAGCTTCCCCAGTGTCCAGG